AGTGAGTTCCAGGAAAGGCGCAAAGCTACACAGAGAAACCCTGTCTCAAAAAAAACAAACAAACAAACAAACAAACAAAAAAAAAAAGAAGCTGAATAGTGAGGGAGGAGGTATAGGCAGAGAAAGTAAGTAGGAAGAGGAATCTAGGCTCAGGAGAAGAAAAAAAAAAAAAAAAAAGATGCCAGGGACAGCCAGACACAGAGGAAGCAGGAAAGAAGGACATACATAATGAAAAAAAGGTAAAAAGCCCCGAGGCAAAAACGTAGATGACTAGAAACAGGTTAAATTAAGTTAAAAGAGCTAGTGGGACATGTCTACGCCAAGGCCGAGCATTCACAATTAATAATAAGTCTCCATGTCTTTATTTGGGAGCTGGTTGGCGGCCCAAAGAACAATCTGATTGCACGCCCCTTCTGAGCAGAGAGCATGCCTGCGTGGCAGCACAGCTCCAATTACAGACAGGCCTGGCTGGAACGGTGGCCACCATTCCGTGGATGTCAGAAAGGGCAAAAGAGCCTCTGGGAGCCTGGTGGCCAGGAGGGAGGGAGGCCCCGGGGATGGGCAGAGCAACCGGCCTCCCTATCTGATATGAAATAATGGACTTCAAAACTGTGCGAGGAGAGAGCAAAGGCTGATGCGACAGCTCCGCGTCAATGCCCCCTGCTAAGCAAGGGCTCGGCCAGCCGGATGTGACTGTGCAAACCTGTGATCCCAACGCTCAGATGGTTGAGGGAGGACCTGACGTGAGTTCGAGACCAACCCACACCATAGAGACTTTGTCTTTAACAAAACAAAAGAAGACGGACAGACCAAAGGGCTGGGTCAGCTGGACCACACGGACCAGGCTGGGAATCAGGAGACTGAGTCCCAGGACAGCCCCAATCAGAGAAGAGGGAAGTGACTCACCAGTCTGGAAGAGGTTCAGTTCGCACTCCAGGTAATCAAACATCTCCACTGTGAGCTGAAAACTGACACAGGAAGAAACAGAAATCAGAGTCTATAGCACCGACTCTCCCTCAACGCCCTGACTCTTCCTCAACACCCCAACCCAATGCTGGGGATGAAATCCATGACCTTGTACATGCTAAGCAAGCATGATGCTGCTAAGCCATGCCCCCAGCACCTCATTGGATTCTAGGCAGATGCTCTTCCATTCAGGAGCCATGCCCCCAGCTTCTCACTGGGGCATTTTAGGCAAGTGCTCTACCACTGGGTCATACCCCAGATCCCTCACTAGGAGAGTCTAGGCAAGTACTGTACTGCTGAACCACACTGTCAGCCACCAAAGCCAGGTAATCACACCGCCCCCATACTCTGTCCTGCTTCCCCACCCTGAGGACTCCCGTGTGAGCACAGGGGCATTCTTTCTTGCATAGACATACACCTCAGCTTCCTTCCAAGCATCTATTATGAAAGTTATTTAAAGACTAAACCTCTCAAGATTCCACTGGGGCAAAGAAAGGTGACAAGGCTCGGTTCGGGGTTAGGAAGCGGAGACTAAGACAGGGAAGCCACGGTGAAATATGTCTGGGTAGGATTCCAAATGGATAAGTGACCCTGGGGCCAAGTCACCCCGGGGACTTCCTCCTCATCCCAGCCTGTCTCCTGCCATCAGGGCCTCTCACTGTTGCCAGGAGCAAGAATTAAAATCACAAAAGTTTACTTCTCTACTGGGTCTGGAGCAGGATAGCCACTTACAAGTTGTTAACATCACTCTCTCCAGCTTCATCCAGCTGCCGGTCACTCATCTGAAGGTTGCCAGGGAACCTGGGATTCTGGAAGGGAATTTGGGTGAAGGAGGATAGAATGAAGCACAAGAAGGCTGGGGGTGAAGCCAGGTGGGTGGAGCGTTCGGCTGCCGATGCTACTCAAGGGATGGAATGCTTGTTTGAGGACACAGTGTAGAGAGAGAGGAGTCCCCCCGCAAGCACAAAGACCCGGGTTCAATCCTGGTACCTCGGGGGTCAGGGGGAAAAGCCCCCACACAGCCCAATAAGACCAGATTAAACAATATAGCAGGTCCCATGTCAACTACACCCTTTTGAGGGAGGCAGGACCCCTTAATGAGGCTCCCAACAAACAACACCCGCTGCCCACTACCCATCATCGGAGCTGAAGGTCCCTCTCTTGCAACATGAGTCCTGGAACATTCTAAGCGCGTCCTCCCAAGGGGCAATGAGACCCAGCATGTGAGCATGCTCCCCAGTGGATCATCTGGAATCCCAGGGCAGCAGACACTCATCACTCACTGGCCCTCTCTGATTCCCACTCAATCTCCTCAGCCTTGGCAATGTACCAAAGCTGTTACTGTGAGCCCATGGGAGTCCAGAAGAGACAGAGCCTGATCTCAAGTATCTGTTTGTTTGTTTTGAGGCAGGGTCTCATGTAGCCCAGGTTGACCTGAAACTCACTATGTAGCTAAGGACAACTTCGAACTTCTGATCCTCCTGCCTCCGCCTCCTGAGTGCTGGGATTAGACGTGTGCACACCATACTAGGTTTATCCAGCACTGGGGATCAAAACAAGGCTTCGAGCATGCTAGGTAAGCACTCTCTGACCATTTAGCTACATCTCCTCCTGGATTCAAGTGATCCTCCTGCCTCAGCTGCCGTAGTAGCCAAGATACCATAGGACATGGAAACAGATCACAAAAAGATAGAGGTCATTTCATCAAGAGCCTCTAAATTCCAGAGCAAATACTTTACATGGAGCTGGAACAAGGCGAGACTCCATTTATTCTTGCTTTATCACCCCAAAAGTGCTCTTTATTTATAGATTTTTGGCTTGTTTTGACCTGAATTTGATAACCTGGGGCTACATGGTAGAAAGGGAGAATGAACTAATTTTCCCCCCTAAAACTTTAAAGAGTAAATTTTATTTATTATTTTTATCTTCCAAATGATTTAAGATTTATTTTTATTTTATGTGCATGAGTGTTTTGCCTGCATGTATGCATGTACACCATGTGTATACTTGGTGCCCAGAGAGTGTAGAAAAGGGCACTGGATCCCCTAGAACTGCTGTGACAGATGGCTGTAAGCTGCCATGTGGGTGCTGGGAACTGAACCCTATTCCCCTCGAAAAAAGAGTCTGTGCTCTTAACCTCTGAGCTATCTTTCCAGCCCTGAAAGAACTGACTCTTCTAAGTTGTCCTCTGATACCGGCCACCTGAAATAAATAAAAATATAATTCAAAACAAGAAGACAAGATGGTACTGGATTGGTCACTCAGCAGGTAATAGCACCCCCAAGCTCACAACTGTTTATAATGCTACTTCCAGAGTATCTGTTGCCCTCTTCTGGCCTCCTTGGGCACTGCATGCACATGATGCACATAATGTATAAGCAGACCACACATATAAAATATAAATAAATCTTAAAAATATATATAAGTAAATGTTTGCCATTTTCCTCAGGAAACACCATGCACCGGATGATGGTTGTTATCCTCTGTGTGAAATGCAGAACAGAATGACCCTATGAACAGAGGTCAAAAGGTCACCCTGGGGTTCCCTGACCACAATTGTTCTATCAGTTGATTTCCCCTTACAGAGTTGGACTATAGCACCCCCACTTCTTGAGGTCCCAGCCTGTTCCCTAAAGTGCTAGTAAAGACCAAGGAGGGTCTGGAGGGAGGACTGGGGAGGGCGGGCTCGGAGGAGGGATGGGGTGAGGGAGCGGGAGCCGTGGAGAACAGGAGATGCTCACTTTGGTGTGGTACTCCATCCTCGTTCTCAGCAGTTTGAGGTAGATGCTGCACAGCTGTCCATACCCCTCACTCAGATGGCCCTTTGGGGAAGAAGAGAAGAAGCTGCATCAGTGCTGAGGTAGGACTTTCCCTGAAATCTTTTCCTTGGGCTGGCTGGCTACTCTGTGGGTGAGGGCTCCCACTGCCAGGCTCAGCAACCTGAGTCAGTCCCTGGGACCCACACGATGGAAGGAGAGGACTGACTACCACAGGCGAGGGGTCGTCTGTATGAGTGTTACGTCATTCATGTGCCCACACCCATCCCAACACATAACATATAATTTTTTTTTTCCTTTCGGAGCTGAGGACCGAACCCAGGGCCTTGCGCTTGCTAGGCAAGCGCTCTACCACTGAGCTAAATCCCCAACCCAAATAAATATAATTTTAAAAGATAGGGCAAAAAGACAGCTCAAAAGGGAAAGGAGTTTGCCACCAAGCCTGACGACCTCAGGATCCCACACAGTGGAGGATCACCCCGATTCCTCCAGCCATGCTTGGTGACATGCATGTACCCCTCCCCTACTCTCTCTCTCTCTCTCTCACTCTCACTCTCTCTCTCTAAAAAAATAAACAAACACTTAAAGGGTGTTCACTCCCAGCACTCCCACATGGAGGAAATCCTTGAGGATATTCAATTTGGATTTCCTCCACCCAATCAGCGCTGGGAAGGAGACCCAGCCGACACTCCCCAGGGGACCTTCCCAGAATTCATAAACCTCCAGCTGAGAGCTTAATTGAGAGCGGATCTCTACAGAGGCAAACACAGGTTCTCTCCAGAGGGACCTGTCTTTATTACTGACTTCAAAGAACTGTGTTCCCAGGAAAACTGAGTAGCTCCCAAGGAGGGAAGGAAAAAAAAAAAAAGCACAAAAGGAAAATGTGAAGAATAGCTAAGATTCACCAGAAATGCCAGATGGCCAAACAGATCTCTAAGGATAGATGATGAGATTATAAAAAGCAATATACGGTATGGGTCTCATTAAGATAGCTCAACTGTTTGCAAGGCGAAAGATCTTGTAAAGGGGGGCTGGAGTGATGGCCTAGCAGTCAGGAGTGTGTGCTGCTCTCAGGGAGGACCTGGATTCAATTCCTCGCTCACAATTGCTCTAGCTACAGTGAATGTGACACCTCGTTAGGCCTACATCAGCACCCGGCGCCCACAGGACAAATAAAAATAATTTTTTTTATTTTGTTTTTTGGTGTTTTGAGACAGGGTTTCTCTGTGTAACGGTCCTGGCTGTCCTAGAACCCACTCTGTAGACTAGGCTGGCCTGGTTCTGCCTCCCGGGTGCTGGTATTAAAGGTGTGCGCCACCACTGCCTGGCTAAATAATTAAATTAAATAATTAAAATAGCTATTGTAAAGAAAGTCAGGTGTGGCCCTGTACATTTGCAAGCCCAGCACCAGGGAGGCTGAGGCAGGAGGATCTGGAATTGAAGGCCAGCCTGGGTTACAAAGTGAGACCCAATGAATCCATAGGAAAGCATGGGATGAGATAAAAAGAATTAAAAAAAAAAAAAGTCTGGGGAGATGGCTCAGTTGTTAATTAATTGTTAGGCAAGGCTGGGGGCCCGGGCTGCATCCTCCACACTCAGAGTGCATGTTTGCAAATCTTCCACATGTCTGCATCTTCCACACTCAGAGTGCATGTTTGCAAATCTTCCACATGTTTGCGTCTTCCACACTCAGAGTGCATGTTTGCAACCCCAGTGTTGGGGAGCAGAGGCAGGAGGATCCCCAGGGCTCACCAGACAACTGCCTTAACCTAATAGGTGAGCCACAGGTTCAGTGAGCTCCTGTCTCAAAAACACGAGGCAGACAGCTTGGTGTATTGTGATGGCATTAGCCTTTAACCCCAGCCCTTGAGAGGCAGAGCTGAGAGGATCTCAGGGAATTCAAGGCCAGCCTGGTCTATGTGGTGAGTTCTAGGACAGCCAAGACTAGGTAGAGAGACCCTGCTTCAAAAAACAAACAAACAAAAACCAAAAACCAAAAACCAACAAGGTGGATGGCTCCTGGGGAACACCACCGGTGGCTGCACCCCACCCCCACCCCATGTTCTCACTGCATGCCTATAATCCCAGGACTCAGGAGGGTAAAGTAGGAAGATTACAAGTTCTAGGCTAGCCTGGGCTATGTACAGAGATCTCAAACAAATAATAGATCTTTATTTTTTTTTAACCTTTTATTATTATGTGTATAGGTGCATATAGGCCTGTGTACTACATGCATGGATGGCAGAGGAGGTCAGAACAGGTCACTGGATCCCTGGAGTTATAGATGGTTGTGAGCCACCATGTGGATGCTGGGAATTGAACTCGGGTCCTCTGGAAGAGCAGCCAGTGTTCTTAACTGCTGAGCCAGCCCTCCAGCCCCAAAACAAAGAATTAAAAGTGCAATGTAGCCAGGCGATGGTGGCGCACGCCTTTAATCCCAGCACTCGAGAGGCAGAACCAGGCGGGTCTCTGTGAGTTCGAGGCCAGCCTGGTGTACAAAGTGAGTTCCAGGAAAGGCCAAAACTATACAGAAAAACCCTGTCTTGAAAGCAAACAAACAAAAAGGTGCAATGTATTGTGACCACAAAGGTCACAAGTAGAATGGCAAGTTCCTGTGAAGAGTAAGGGGTCCCGGGTGCATCTCCACACTCACCCACATCCTGCTCATGTCGCTTAATTCATTTTTGTATCTCAGAGAGTCTTTGAGCACCTAGGAAAGAAGAGAAGAACCATGAGAGGGGACACGGGTGGCCAGAGAACAGTCTACCTGGGCCTGGGGTGGGGAAGAGACCCATCCGAAGGGATGTACCCACCTCCTATGGGAAATCAAGACAAGCGGTATGGCAGCAGCCAGCAGCCTCTTTTTTCGTGTGTGTGTGTGTGTGTGTGTGTGTGTGTGTGTGTGTGTGTGTGCAGGGGCCACAGCATACATGTGGAGAGCAGTGGACAACTTTCAGAAATCAGTCTCTCCTCCCACCTTGGGCTCCTAGGACTATTTTGCTGGCCTGACAGTCGCTTTTGACAGGGGACAGGAGAGATGAACGGGGCACTTCCATATTCTATATTATAACGACACGTGTGCTGCATACTGCGGGAAGCAATCAGTGTATACACAATGTTCCTGGCCTCTGCACAGACACGGTTGGAGTGTACCACCGCCTCTGGCCTGAGTGTCTCCAGGACAGGTTGACACCAGCAGACACTAACCTAAGTATTTCGATAAACATTTGAGCCCAGACATCCACAGAACGAGAGAAGAGTGCAAGGAATGATACCGTGAGGCACAAATATCCGAAGTGGGATGTTTTGATCAGAAATATGGCTGATCACCTGACCAAAGGGGCGAGGTTGAACCCTGAAAAGACTGACAGCCTTTGTCTCCACCCCCTTCTCCCTATATAATTTGCTGCCTTAAGATGAGCTAGGACACAGTCTTCTCCAATTGCTGGCTCTCTGAATAAAATAGTTTTAAAGGTTCAGTTCCTGGGAGGTGGAGAGATGGTCCAGTGGTTAAGAGCACTGGCTGCTCTTCCAGAGGATCTGGGTTCAATTCCCAGCACCCACATGGTAGCTCACAACTAACTGTCTGTAATTCCAGTTCCAGGGGATCTGACACCCTCACAACAATGCATATTTAAAAAAAAAATTCTTGGCAGTTAAGGGTGTTTTACAGCTCCTGCAGAGAGAACCCCAGTTCGTCTCCTAGCACCCACACTGGGCGGCTCACAACATCCTGTAATTCCAGCTCCAGGAGATCTGACACCCTCTTTCCGCCTCCTCAAGCACCTGGACGCGTGGCATACACTCACGTAGACACACACATATAGATAAAAAATGTTATCTTTAAAGCTTCAATTCCCGTCTCTGCTCACTGGCGTCGATCGCCGGTACCTACCGCCCCAGGGACTCACGTTTGGATGTCCGTCTCGGAGGAGCTTGTGGAAGACGTGGCAGAACTTCCAGCACAGCATGGCGTTGCTGGACAGAGGCAATCGGTTGACCACGGACCAAAACGTCTGCGCGCCTTTCTCATGGTGGGTGCCCAGGATGCAAGGTGACGGGAGTCAGGGAAAAGCAAGGGCCTGGTGGGGGGCCTGGTGGGTGGTGCTGGCAAGGAGGGTGGGGCCCTGCTCACTGCGGAGACCCCACAATTCCACATGCTTGCCTGGGCGGTTTGGAGGCTGGGGGTACTGGAATACCTTGTTCTCTGTTTTATAATAGTTTCCTCTCAAAAGGAACTGTCTTTTTTTCTTTCTTTCTTTCTTTTTTTTCCTTTGGTTTTTCAAGACAGGATTTCTCTGTAGCTTTGGTGCCTGTCCTAGATCTCGCTCTGTAGAACAGGCTGGCCTCAAACTCACAGAGATCCGCCTGGCTCTGCCTCCTGAGTGCTGGGATTAAAGGTGTGTACCACCACCGCCCAGCCAGAACTGTCTTTTTAATATGTATTATTATGTGTGTGTGCGTGTATATATGTGCGGGAACTCATATACCCAGGTGCATATGTAGAAGGGGCAGCTTGTTGAAGTCAGTTCCACACGGGGTCTCGAGGACTGAACTCAGACCTCAGAGGCTTGATGGCAAGCTCCTTTACAACTGCTGAGCCATCTTACTGGCCCCTCCCTGTCTTTCTGAGAGTGGGTCAACATTTAAATAGCCCAGGTTGTCCTGGAAGTAGTATGTTAATAGAGGATGACCTTGAACTTCTGATCCTCCTATCTCCACCTCCCGACTTCTGGGGTTACAGGTGTGCAGGACCACACCTGTTTTATGTGACGCTGTGCTGGGACAGAGGGCTTGGTGCATGTCAGGTAAGCACTCTCCCAGCTGAGCCACACTCCCAGCCCCCCTGCCCTTTGTTTGTGTTAATGAGATAGAGTCTCACTCTGTAGCCCAGGCTAGCCTCCAACTCCCGGCAATCACCCTGCTTCATCCTCCCAGTGGCCGAGGTGGCAGGCATGTGTCACCATGGTCCCCAGAAGTGGAAGTGTGTTGAGAGGGGAAGTCCCTTCATAACCTGCACTTGTGGCTCGGGCCAGGGGTAGTCTTGGCTGCTCTCTGGGTCAGCCAGATGTACATAGGGCTCTTGGGACCATTGCCACAATCTATTTTTTTTAAAATAATTTATTTATTTGTATTTTTTCTACATTGATGTTTTGCCTGCATGTATGTCTGAGGGTGTCGGATCCCCTGGAACTAGAGTTACAACAGACAACTGTGAGCTGCCATGTGGGTGCTGGGAATTGAACCCGGGTCCTTTGGAAGAGCAGCCAGTGCTCTTAACCGCTGAGCCATTTCTCCGGCCCGTTGCCATGGTCCTAACACGTGGTTTCCTCTTTCACTTTTGTTTTGCCTGTGGTCCTTGTTCATGTGTCTGCCACGCCTGTGTGTGAGCATGAGTGTAGCGTGCCACGGTACATGTGAGGATGCTGAAGGACAACCTTGAAGACAGGCTTCCTTCGCCCACTGTGGATTCTGAGAACCAGACTCGGGATGCCAGCCTTGACCAGCTTTGGCCTGCTGAGCCAGCTCAGAGAGCTTTCTTACTCATTATTAAAGTGAGGGGTAGGAGCTGGGCCTGGCGGCACACACCTAGAATCCCAGCGGGATCTTGAGGCAGGAGAATCCCAAGTTTGAGGCCGACTTGTAGGACGCATTGAAGCCCTGTCTCAAAACCGCCACCATCAAAACCATCAAAAAACAAGCAGAGGCCGGAGAGACAGCTCAGCGGTTAAGAGCACCAGCTGCTGCTCTTCTAGGACTCTGGTTCGATTCCCAGCACCCACACAACAGCTCACAACTGCCTGTAACTCCAGTTCCAGGGAATCCACCGCCCTCTTCTGGCCACTGTGCACACTGCAGGCATGTGGTGCACAGACCTACAGGCAAAACACCTACACACATAATAAATAAAATAAACAAGCAAATAAGAACTTCAACTGTAGCTCAGCTGGTGAAGAATCTGCCTAGCATGCACGAAGCCCTGGGTTTCACCCCAGCACTGCATAAAAACTGAGCATGACGGTACAGGCCTGTGAGATCCCAGAACTCAGGAAGTCACCAGTTCAAGGTTACCCTCAGCTAGACAGTGAATTAGAGGCCAGCTTGGGCTACATGAGACCCTGTCTCAAAAATAAATCTAACCAACTCACATGAACGAAATAAATAAATAAAAAGGGAAGGACATGGCAGCTCCTAGGTGTGGTGGAGGAGAAAGTTTATTGTAGATGTGTGGGAGAGCATAGCCAGAGGCAGGGACATCTGGGAGTCCAGAGTGGACATGGTCAGACTGAGCCATGTGAGGAGCGGGGGAGGGGGGAGGGGAGTACCAAACCAAGAGGCCAGGAGGGTGAAGAATAGATGAGCCGAAAGGCCGGGCAACCAGAATGGTCGCATTATATAGAGACGAGCCTCTGGAGGAAGGGCAGCCCAGCCTCTGGGCTGGAGAGTTTAGGGTAGGGGGTGAGGTGTGCCAGCCATATATATATACCTGTAACAGGTAGGGACTGAAGGATGCTGGGAGAACCTGGCGGCCAGGTCAGCTTTGGTATGCTAATGGACACCTCAATTAGCCATTTGTCCTGGGTTGAAAACGTAATATAACTAACTAAATAAACAGAAAAGGCCTGGCTGGGTGGCCTCCTTGGCCCTTGCCAGGCTGGAGTTCCTGAGACTGGTGCTCTCTGGGTCCGCAGTTCCACCGGAAGTGGAAGTGGCTTCCATCTGCAGGCTCCTGTCCCTGGCAAGGGTTACTCTTCCTGTGGCCAAGCAAGAAGCCTCCTCCTGACCCCGGGTCCCACTATTTGACCCCCTTCCAGGGTCGGCCTCCCAAGGATCGCATCCAAAAGGATATTCCTGGCATGTTTTTCCTTCACGGCCACTTCCTGCGTATTAATGGCCTTATTGACGCTGACGGTCTGCAAAACAAGATGGGGGAGGGGGAGGGGGGTGAAATAAATGAGCCTCCGAGAGCGGCTGAGACCCCTCCCAACTTCCTCCCCCCCCCATGACCCTTGGGGTTTCTGACTGCCCCGAGACCATCCAGGGTCCTCTAGATCCTCGGCCGGTACCCAGCTTGGTGGGGGGGAGGGGGCAGAGGTGGGCAGCGCTCCCAGACCAGCTGTCCCAGGCTGTCCCAAGGGAGCAGGCTTTGCTGCCTGGCATTGGCTGTACCCAGCTGCTGCACCCGCCTGCTACGCGCCAGCTTGGCACAACAGCATGGTAATTAAGGGGCCACACAAAGGAAGGCTTTTTCATCCCCAGGGAAACATTATCCCTCAGAGTACAAGAGGAAGAGATGCTGATGTCGGGAGCTGAGACCAGTCAGCCACCCCTCTGCCTCTTGTAAGCCTTCCCACCGAGGGCTGGCGAGGGGGCTCCGCGGGTACAGTCGGAGTGCCGTTCCCAGGACCCCCATGAAGATGGACAAGGGGATCCCAATCCACAAAAGTGTTCTTTGACCTCCACACAAGAGCTGTGGCAAGTACGTTCCCCCAAAATAATAAACAAAACAAAACTTCCATGAGCTTTTCCTGGCCCTCCATCCACCCTTGGCCATTTTCCAACTGGAGGGCAAATCCCCTTTCCTGCCTTAATTACATGGAAAAACACGAAATTATTCCTTTCCTGTTGCTTTCAAATTCATGGCTCTCACGCTAATTTTAACACAGCCCACAGACACGTGAATAATGTGCACAATTGTTAAATGGTATCATTTATCATTTATCTGGTAGGCTATTGTGTTGTTGACATTTTTTAAAAGGTTTATTATTTTTTTTAATTATGTATATGTATGTGTGTATCTGACTGTGGGTATGTGTACACACATAAGTGCAGGTGCTGAAGAGGCCAGGGGCATTGGAGCTAGAGTTGTGAGCCGCCGGATGTGGGCACTGGGAACTGAACTCTGGTTTTCTGCAACAACAGTGTGTGCTCTTAACCCCTGAGCCACCACCCTAGCCTCTGTATTTGTTTATTTAGTGCACTTTGGGGGGGGAGGAATGCCTGCCTGCCGAGGTGTACACACACACACACACACACACACACACACACACACACACACTCACACACTCACTCACTCACTCACTCACTCACTCATACTCACTGTACTAAAGGTCTTAAGTCTGCCATTATTTTATATTTTTTATTTAAGAATTTTTTTTTTCTTTTTCGTTTTGCCAAGACAGGGTTTCTCTGTGTAGCTTTGCACCTTTCCTGGGACTCACTTTGTAGCCCAGGCTGGCCTCGAACTCACAGAGATCCACCTGGCTCTGCCTCCCAAGTGCTGGGATTAAAGGCGTGCACCACCACCGCCCGGCTAAGAATTTTTTTAATGTGTATGGGTGTTTTCCCCACGTGTATGACTGTGTACCTCTGTGTGCACTGCCTGAGGAGGCCACAAGGGGGCATCAGATCCCTTGAACTGGAGTTACAGGCGGTTGTGTGTTACTATGTGGGTGCTGGGAATTGAACCCGGGTCCTCTGGCAGAGCAGCCAGTGCTCTTAACCACTGAACCACCTCTCTGTCCCCAACATAGTGTTTTCACATACCCTTTTCTCTATACTTGGTTTTCTCATTGGAAAATATTTTGACATTCTCCAAGCAGAATGCAAAACTGCTTCTTCCTTTTTTCTTGTCCCTTGGTACCTGGGGTTGAACTGGGGCCTTGCACGTGTTAGGCAGGTAGTCTACCACTGAGCCTGTTTTGCTTTTAGATTTTCTGAGGCAAAGTCTTACTAAGTTGGCAGGCTTTGAATGAACTCCAGACCCCAGACAGCTATTAATCCAAGACCTCCCCCCACCCTACCCCTGCCTCAGCTTCTCATAGTAGATGGGATTACAGGCATGTACCACCAGGTCTAGCTCCACATATTCATGTTAAGTGATGCTTTTAATTAATTAACTAGGGTTCTTTGAGACAGAATTTCTCTGTGTACTCCTGGCTGTCTTGGAACTCACTCTGTAGACTAAGCTGGCCACAAACTCAGAGATCTGCCTGCCTCTTCTTCCCGAGTGCTGGGATTAAAGGTGTGTGCCACCACCATCCAGCCAATGTTTTCAAGAGATAGGTTTCCAGGAGTGAGAATACAAAGTTAAAATATTTTGCTTGGAGCTAGAGAGATGGCATAGTGGTTAAGAGCACTTGTTCTTACAGAGAACCCAAGTTCAGTTCCCAGCTCCCACAACTTGTCTTACAACCATCTGTAACTCTGGTTCCAAGGGATCTGATGGTCCTTTCTGTCTCTGTGTGTACCAAGAGCACACACAATGCACAGACATACAGGTAGACAAAACATCCATGCATGTAAAGATCTTTACTTATTTTTTTAAGTTTTGTTTTTCTAAATTATCCCTTTCATTATGGAAGCACTCAAACATACATAAATGCATCCTGGACTAGCCTACCTCAAACTTGGTATATAACCGAGAATGACCCTGAACTCCTGATCCTCCCGCACTGATTCTGAATGGTGTTGGGACCCCAGACTTCAAGCGTGCTAGGCAAGTGCGCTCGCTACTCACTGAGCTCCACCCCAACCCATGAAAATTCCCTTTCGGAAGAAGGAGAGGATGTGGTACACAGTGCCGTATCTATAATCCTAACACTTTGGAAGCAGAGACGGGAGAATCTTTTAATCTTCAGAGCCATCCCCCGCTCCCTAGGGCACTCAAGGCCAGCCTGGGCTACCTGGGATCTTACGTCAAAACAAATAAACTAAAAAGGAGGTGCGACGGTTGAGGGATTCTTCATCAGTTACAACCACTCAGCTCCCGCCAACCACTGACCACTTCTTCCCTCGATAATGAAGCCAACACTGCCAGACTCTCGATCTTTTTACCCGTCAATCACCTCTCTGGGTGATTGTGAGAAAGACTCCCGGGTTACAGCTAGATGCGGTCCCCACCATGTGGGAGAGGATCGTAGCTGTAAGGACAATGTCACGGATGCCGGGGACCCCCAGAAGGCAGGGGCTTGCTTCAAATGAGCTGATTTCCTTTAGTGTTATACACTGCCTTCATTCCTAGACTCCAGCACAACTGAGAAAGACCTGGTCTGGCGCTGAGTTTGGGGAGGAAGCCAGGTTCTGCTGTTTTTCTTATTCCTGCGACAAAATACCTAACACAAGCGACATGAGGGAGAAAAGGTGGATTATGGCTCACAGTCTGAGGGTGCCGTCCATCATGGCGGGGAAGGCTCGGCAGCAGGAGCGTGAGGCGCTGGTCACGTGGCATCCACAGTCAGGAAGCAGCGAGAGAGATGGACGCTGGTGTTCAGATCACCCCGCCAACCCCACCCCCAGACAGGGTTTCTCTGTGTAGCCCTGGCTGTCCTGGAACTCACTCTGTAGACCAGGCTGGCCTCGAACTCAGAGCTCCACCTGCCTCTGCCTCTGCCTCCCGAGTGCTGGGGTTAAAGGTGTGCGCCACCGCTGCCCTCAATACCCCCAGCGCAGCTCACTACTTTTTATTCAGGCCAATAGGATGGTGCCACCCACATCTAGAGTGGAGTTTCCCATCTAAATTAACTCATCCAGAAACTCCCTCATAGACGGGTGCAAGGCCTTGTCTGGAGTGATTCTAAGTCCTGCCAAGTTGACAACAGATATTTACCGCCGAGCCAGCGAGATGGATCAGTGGGTTAAATGTGCATGCCACCAAGCCCCCCCACTTCCGACCTGCACAGCAGGGGAGAAATGACTCCCTAACTGTTCTCCGATCTTCACACACGTGCATGGACTTCACTCCCATCATGCACACACAATAACTAAATGTGAAAAATATTAACCATCCTAAGTCACTTGGGGCACTGATAGCCCCCCCCCCCCAGCTGTTACCCCACATCCTCTCCCGTAGCAGGTGGTGTTCACAAGAACTCATTCAGTGTTGCGGATGTACCTGACGGACTTCCAGCCATATTCACCAGTGGTGGAGGTGCCGATGAACCGGAGGCCACACCATGGCTCTTGGCTGTAGCTCGGATTCTGTAGCTTACACAGCCTCTCAGGACTCTGAGGCACAAGGCAGGTCTGAGCTTTAACATTCTTGAACTTGGGGTTTTGTTGAGACAGAGTGTCCTTTATACCAAGCTGGCCTTGAATTCACTAAGTAGCGGCGAATGACCTTGAACTTCTGATTTTTCTGCCTCCGCTGCCTGAGTGCTGGGATTACAAGTGTGCTCCGCTGTGCCCTGTTTAATTTGTGCTAGGGATGGAACCCATGGCCTCACACATACTAGGTAATGATCCACCACCCTTCCCCACCTCGCCACCCTCAGCCACTGCAGTTTTGAGACAGGATCTCACTAGTCCAGGCTAACCCTGAACTCACAATCCTCCAACTCAAGTCTTCTCAGAATTAGATTCTGCCACTGTGTCTGGCTCACACTGGGCCCTTTAAAGCAAGCAAGCTGTGACCAGGCTTGGAGGTGCTGGCCTGGAATCCCAGCTACTGGAGGAAGTTGAAACAGGACGCTCCTACGTTCTAGGTCCACCTGGGCTACAGAGTGAGTTCAAGGCCATGCCAGGCAATACTAACACCCTGTCTCAAAGGAAGGGGTGGGGGTAGGTCTGGGTCACCCAGAGGCCTCAGGATGTCCATCACCTTGATGTTTCTGGGGCAGATGTTCCCGTCAGGACCAGTTTGCCCAAATGACACTCTCATGCCCCATCCTACATCACACGTACTTTTATATCTATCTATATTGCAAAGACTTCATTTCAGGGCGGGTGAGGCGGCTCAGGAGGAAAAGGAGCTTGCCGATAAACCTGGCACCCTGGGTGCAATCCTCAGAACCCACATGGTGGACTCCTGCATATTGTCCTGTGAACTCCACATGCACGCCTTAGCATGCACATGCATCCACCTCTCATAAATACATAAATGTCACTTTAAAAAACCTAAAAGCTACTTTTTTTT